TGTAACTCCGTAAGAAGCCATATTTTATCTAAGCGTTCATATTTTCAGCCCAGAATTATCCAGTTAGCGTATGTACAATTATTAATGAATTACCCTGTATTTGTAAATGATGACCATGACAGGCATCTATTTTGTTGAAAAGGACAAGTCTACATTTTTTTTTTGTTAACTGATACCACAAATTTCATTTTTAATAGATATTTTTCTTTTTCTTCTTTTAACGTTTACTTGAATGAAATCACACTGGAAGATGTAGCAATACAGCAAAACTAGAGACAATATTGTAATAGAAATTCTTTAAAAACGTATTTTCTTTAATTATTGGTCGATTAGTGTCGGTAAACTTTTTCTTTTTTGTTATTTACGGAAACTTATTCTCCATCGATCCATTACAAAAATGGAATAGTTATTAATAATTATTTTGTTTTTTTTTTTCAATACTTCCTAGGCTTCTAATATTAAAGATATTATAATACGAGGAAAGTACGACTTCAAGGTTCCGACATTGAGAACATGCAAAATTTCCTACCAATCCCAAAACAAATGATAACGAATCCGATCTATCATGCAAAAGTTGTGCGAAGATGGCAAAAACTGTGTCAAGGAGCGTTGGTACTGTCGATTTATTTTTAGGCTGAACATACCGTGATTTGCTATTATTGAATACGTGCAAAGGTTACTTTCGTCAAAACAATTAAAACGCTGCCATCGAACGCCAAGGTAATTTTTTTTTGCAGACAGATTCTCGAATGGAACGCGCCGTTGTTATTTCAGTTTTTGTACAAAACTAGGAAAGGTACAGTTAGCGGCTACGTCCATCTGCACTACATCTACTAACCATCCGAAAAATATTACCTTCCTTGGGTTGCACTGTTGGGAATCGGTAAGACTTCAAATTGCTTCGACAGTTTTAAAATTAATAAGGCAACTACCTGTATTAACATTTTATAACCGGTCCTTTTCTCGTGCTCTCGAAACAACCGACCCCAGAAAAGGAAAGCAGTTTCGACATAAAGGTTAATTGTAATAATAAAAATTTTGAACCTAGGCAACACCACTTTGGCGTTTGCCAAAATGTTAAGAGTAGACCCAAAAACTGCTGCATTCTCTGAATGTAATCATTTTTTTTAATACCGTACGCGCCTAAAGTATGGAATAAATTCAGTAAAACCGAAACACATTCTTTTTGGGAAAAATCCTCGAACAAGTCGAGTTTTAATTTAAAAAATACATATTTTAGCATCAAATACGATTTTCACCCGTCATTTGTTTTCGAGTAATGACGTCATCGGCATTTTTTTTTAAATAGCAACCCCCTATTTTTTTCTTGACTCTGAAAGATCGTTTCATTGTCGATCCGACAGTATTAAAATGTTGCCATCTTACATAGGAAAGTTTTCGAGTAAATGACGATTGAATGTTAGAAAACGTAAATTTTATTCATTAAAAAAGTAATCACAGGTCAACAAAGCTCAAGAAGCAGACACACTAATATGCATCCCGAAGGATTTTGGTGCGCTGAATCCGAATCTGGCCGCAGCAGAATTGCTCTATCACGTCTGGTTTTTGAAATATCCTAACCTAAAAGTGCAAAAAACACTGTTTTTCGTCATATTTAAGGTTATGTAGTAATGCCATATATTCTTTAATATGCCTTTAATAATGCCAATTTTTTTTATTCTGAAAGATCGTTTCATTGTCGATCCGACAGACGATTGAATGTTAAAAAACGTAAATTTGATTCATTAAAAAAATAACAATTCCTATGTCAAGCAAATACAATTCGTTAAGTTTTCTACCTAACTTAAGAGTTCGAATTGCCACCCACCCAGTTCTTGACAATACGCAAGTCTGTGTAGAAATTCTTCTTGCACATTATTAATTATTTCTGGGGTAACTCTGTATATTTCATCTATAATACAATTTTGGAGTTCTTCTAAATTATGTGGTCTATTAACGTACACTTTGGACTTTAAGTAGCCCCATAAGAAATAGTCCAGGGGTGTAAGATCTGGGGATCTCGCGGGCCATTCTACCTCGTCTGCCGATCCACCTCCTAGGAAAACAATTGCCCAGAAAATCTCGAACAGGGCGCGCATAGCGCGGAAGTGTACCGTCTTACTAATATGGTGTCATCAGGAATATCAAGGTCATTATCGTTAGGAAAAAATTACTGCAAAAGCTGGAACAAGGTTTTGTAAAAACTCTAAATATCTTTCTTCTGTAAGGGCTCCTTCAAAGAAGAAAGGCCCTACTATTCTGTTGTCAACTATTCCAGCCCACACATTTAATTTCTGTGGGTGTTGGATATGTGTCTCTGCCATCCAATGAGGATTTTCCAGACTCCAATACTTGACATAAATCCATCATAATTTCACAAAAGTGTAAGCGGCGGTCGGGATCGTCTTCATTGAGTTCCTGCACAAGTTGAATTTTGTAGGATGATATTTTTCCTGCCTCAAGATACGTAGCACTGCGTGGTCTGACTAATTTCATTGTTTAATGCAACCAATCGTGAAGTATTATGAGGATTATCTACCATACTTATCAAAATGTTCTGTTTGTGATCGTCACTAACGCTTGGACGTCCAGGTTTTGAAATATCTAAACATTGTCAGTTTCTCTAAAGGACCCCGCACAAATCTTATGGAAATTGGGTCCCGGTCAAATTCGCTGAATTTTTGATATGTGATATAGTTCATCATACTGGTCAATTGTCTCAATGGCCACAAAGCTCAAAAATGGATAGTTTGGCCGGTACAGAGCTTTAAAGCTCCGAATATCCTCCACGGATTTATGTACCTGTATATGCGCAGTGTGTATAGACTTTTGAAATAGCCTATTTAATTTTTTTTATTTATCTAGGTTTATATTTTTGAGGTTGCTGAATTCAGATCTGTTGTTAGATTTTCAAAATTGACAGTTGGCAGCTGTCAAATAGCTGTCAATGTGCTATAATAAAGCCAAAAACTTGTTTTTTT